CGGTTACTTTGGGCAGGGTTGCCTCAAAACCAGAGGGTTTGGCTTTGGGAGGTACAAGAGGCCTGAAATGGGGAGACAAAGAATGACCAGCAACTGTGTGTCTGTATGCTAGGATATTTGCTATGCTGCTGGGTAATAAGAACATCAATTGCCTAAATCCAGTATGGCATAGTCCAGTGATCTCAAACTAAAGTCACAGGTGCCATAGGAGGACTAGGTAATTAGCCCAAGGGCTGCAATATTGAAGTATTTCGTGCATTGACACAAAAGTCTCTGGTAAGTAAAAACTGAAGTGCTTTATGCTATGCAACTGATCATAAGGTTAAGTTAAAAAAATGGCAAAATATGGAAATATACAGAAAATATTCATCCATAGCCCTTGTCAAACTTAATTCTATGTCTTCTTTTTATTTTCAGAGGATTTAAAGGCAAACTTTTCTATCCTTCATTCACCCTAACCCTAAAATACAAGAAGTATACTGATTGTCAGCACCAGGATGGATGGGGAGGAGGAGTGTTCTATGGGCTAAAAAAATGGATCTGGACTGGGGCTGCACATAACCAAGGGTAGCCTGTACCTGGCAGAGGCTCACAAAAATCTCTCCTTGCTTGAATACCTGAAATACCAGGTCCCATCTATCAAAAATGTCATCTGGCTGGGCCTAGGAAGTGGGCCTTTTCTGTCACAGTGCGTACACTCAGGAACACCCTGCCTCTCCAAGATCCAGTTGGCTCCGACCCTGCGGGCACTTCATAAAAGCTTTTAAAACATGGCTGTTTGCCCAGGCAAGGGGGTTGGGAGGTTGTAAGATTGATGCGTCATCTGCTGATTTATGTTTTGTTCAGTTGTCATTATATATAGATATCATTGTTCAGTTTTGAGGTTTTAACCCTGTTAGCCACCCAGGGTTACTGTTTTGAAATTAGTAGCCATATAAATTGATTCAAATAATAAGTATATAAATAAGCCTTTTTGACTTAAACGTAGAATGTCTGGTTGCAAAGAACATGTTCTACTACAGAATTTGTTTTTGTGATCTTTTGTGACAGGCTGCCATGTTTATGGGTTACTGTGTATTTGTTGTGGTAGTGTGGCATTGTTTCCAATTTTTCTGTTTCTGTTTTAACCACCCAGAATAATGGGAGTCAAGCATACAGAAATACATATTAATAAGTACTGGTCTAAAACCCGCCCTCTAAAGTTAGGTTATACACTATATGCATACAGTTGTCAGTCCCAGCAGTAACCACACACCCGCATGCAGTACATCGTTCCCCTGTAATCAGTAAGAATGTTCCTCAAGCATCTATTAGAATATGTTTTGGTAAATCCAAGGCTTAGTTTTTCTCAACAATCCCCATTTAAAGAAGGGAAATATGCTAAATGATTAATATACCTGTGTTTAGGCAGATGAGTAAACAGGTTTTTTGCAGTCTCATTAATTTCTGTGGATATATTACTTAATTGGGTAATTTTAAATCCAGTAATTAGTTTATGAGCATAATGTAAGTTATTAAAATAAAAATAGTAAAAGCACAGCAGTAAATTAAGAGATAGTAGAAGAAATAAAATTATATATGAAATCACTATCCCAATATAATGAAGACATTTAAAATTGAAACTAGATTATTAAATTTTATTTTTTTCATAGTTTTTATTAAAGTTTTAATTACAGTAGTAAAAGCAACAAACTGAACTCGGAAAAAGAATAAAAAGTGCAAAGAAAGAAAAAGAAGAGAGAGAAATATGTAAAGAAGTGACTTCCAATCTTTATCACAAGTAAAAACAAATTTGATAACTCTTCACCCCCTATAACCCTCTTCTTCCCATAACCCAACCCTTATCTATATGCAAATCCATAAATCATCACATTTTCAGTCCTGGTGTCAGCAAACCAACTTTATATTCCTTCCTTTTACTTTTAACAATCCTAATCTTTAATTCATTCGGATGTTGTCGTAGAATTTGGTCTCTCTTCCATTTTTCTTTTTCCCATTGCAGAGGTTTCTTCAAGGCTTTAACACCCCTTTTGTAAATCCAGTAAAAAGTCATTATCCAGGTCATTGTCTTGATTTGTCATTTGTATTTCCACTTTGATTTTCAAAGCTTTAACCAGCTTCTTTTGTAT